GTTTAGTTAATAAAAGTATTAAAAAATCAAAGTAAAAGAATAAGGCAAATTGCCTCGTTTGATTGTTGAATTTTGTTCAGGAGTCAAGATATATAGCTCCAAAACATTGGCTCGCTATTGACGCGTGGCCATAATAAAAGTTGAAATCACAACAAAATTTTTTCGGCTCTAAATAATCCTCATTTGATTGATTATGCATTAATTTATTTGTAAAAGTACTCTGATATGATAATGATAGTGATAAGAAGATCATGATAAATGATTCGTAATATTCGTTATTTGGTTGTAAGACGAAGAAAATATGCGCTACGTCACTATTTCTTTGGCATTTGAATTGCTGAAAACCTCACATATTGTGACTTATGTATTATAATTTGACAATTGACAGGAGAACATGCCGAATATTTTTACCATCTTCTTTTCTTTAACAGTTCATACTGAAAGGTGTGAATTTATTATCATACCTTTGTGCTCTTTTCTATTCAAAGAATCACTTTGTCGATTCATTTTTAATTTAAGTGAATTTCAAAACTGAACTGGAATGGATTGTATGAAGTAAATTAGCGTCATCATCAGAAAACAATTAGCATCTGGAGAACTATTATGAAATTTCGATCCAAAGTAAATACCAAAAAAGACTTTTGAAATTTTATATGCATTGGGAATAAAAGAAATTCTGCTTGCATACCATATTTATTTGTACCTTTGCTTATTATCCGCAAAACAGGTGGTATTTCAGGCTTCATTATGATAGGCATAGATCAAAATTTCAAAAAAAAAAAATTATCTGGAATGCTTAGGAAAGACGTTTATTAACTTACTATGTTTACAGAAAACCAATCATCGATAACATCTCCTTCGACAGTAAGTCTCAAAAGAAGATAAATGTATAAAAGCGACCATGATGACTTCAAGGGAAAGTTGGGATTAGAAATATTCAAATAAAATATATTGGTAATCGCAATGTAATAATAATATAATGATAATAACTGCTGAATATTTAAAGACCAAGTGAAATTAAAAGATTGGTTCCAAAACATAGTCCAGTCAAGCTTCACTTTACTTCAAGCGTTATGAAAGATCACATCGAAAAGATGCAAGTGCATAGTGAACTCCGAAATACAAATTTACAAAGGTAGTTCAATGGGTAGTGACAATATTTCAATTTCGTAATTTCATGGTAATTATTTACTAATCTCTTTCAGCGCTGTTTCCATCTCGCTCTGCAACGAAGGCATTCAACTAATTACTTATTTAAAAATTTTAATTATTTAGCTGACTTTACGGATACCATATTAAATATTTCAGTTTAAAACTAATTTTGGTTCCTTTCGTTTATTTACAAACTTACGAAATATACCACCCAAAGTTCAAAGTTTATATTGAGGAGAAGTTGAAATTTTGAAAATGATGCAATCTTGAAAATGTTACTTGTAAGAGTTTGAGATCTTTAACAGCATCCAAACGAGTTAGTTTTTCGGCTGCATTGTTCAGTTGTTCCATAATATCGCTAATTTCCTTTTCATTACCCTTTGGTTCACTAAATATATATACTCAGCATGAACGAAATTCAAATTTCTGTTTCATATTTTTCCAAATAATAGCGGATTTTTTTACGTCCTTATAATTGGCTATCCATCATTTTTTTTTTTTTTTTTGCTTTGTCGCAAAACGAAGATGAAATTTAATGGGTGAGAAATTCAAATAACTGAGGGAAGCCAGATAGAGGAAAATGCTCAGTAACAGAGAGAAAAAAAGATGGCTTTCAGACAATATTTCAACAAAAGCAAAAATGCTGTGCACCTACCTCTTCCTTTGCACTAGCTATTATGAGGATAATGTAATTATTATGCTCTAAAAAACCTTGAAATTCTTCGGCACTTTTTATAGAATCAATTTGGAAATTTTATGATTCTCTCTATATGATTGAAAATACATCATTTTTTATTTGTTAAAGGGATAGGGAATCCAACGTTCGACAAAGCATTCCATTTTATGACATCGCGATCGTACGCTCTTAATGTCTGTCGTCAAACTATTCGATTTAATTTCACTAATAGTGTGAAGTATAAGCAAGCCTAAACAATGTTCAATATTTAGATCAAAAACTGAAGATGGCATTTTGACCTGATTTCAATGGTTGCTGTTAGTTTTTGCATTTCATACTTCTTTTTCCACACTTTTATTTCTGCTGCATATTCTAATATTTTTCTATAAAGAGAAGTGTTGAAATACAGTAATGTTCTAGTCGACACAAAAAATATCTGTTCACCTGCCAAATTGATAGGTTAGTTCGAAAATACTTCAAATTGCTGGAAGTATTACAAATCACTACATGTTAATGAAGAAGCGCGAAAACAAAGTTGTAGTCTGAAATGACATACAAAAAACTGCATCCAAAAATGGACTAACCTTTTGAATTCCCTTTCTGAGCGTTCTTTTTCCCTAAGCTTTAAAGTCAATCGTTTCACTTCCGCCTCCAACGACTGAAGTATTCATTCTATTAACGTTCTCAACATTTCCACAAAAAGGACAAGTGATATCATGAAGCAGTGTTATTAAAATCGCTTTGCCTGTGACTCTTCACATTACTAATTAACTTTTGAATTTCTTGCTAAATAAATTTAAAGACCATTCTTAAATGAATCATAAAAAAATTGAATTAGTTTAAATTAACATCCTTAACCCTTCACTGGACAAGAAGAATAATATCTTTCCCGGGTATGGCAGATCATGTAACAACGATTTCTTTTTTTTTCCCCTTTCAAATTGACATCTATAAATTTTACAAACGAACTTGAATCATAAACTGATTTAGAATTCCAAATGGCCACTTACCTTATTTTTTTCTAGTAAAGCAATCATTTCTGCAGAATTCTCCAGAGGTTTTGACGTTTCAGCTGAAAGAGATAATGCTTAATGACTTCTTGCAGCACTTGTGTATTTGAAAAAATCTTGGTTCTTGAAAGGCTAGAATTCTTTTTTTAGATGCCAGAAAAATATGGAGACAATGACGACAAGTGAAAACTTTCTTTCGAAAACTTTCTTAACCCTTGAAACTATTTTAATTGCATTTTGGAAAAAATATAAGACTAATGACAAATTCTCACATTACAGTACCGCATTATGCATGTATGAATATTTGCAATTTACAAACTATTCGAATATCAGAATGAAAATCGATTACTAAAAATATTAAAATAAGTCCTCTAAAAAACAAATAGGATTTTTAAAGCAGAAAGCGAAAGTTCGATTCACGTAAATTGGTAGCTGAAAACATCAAAATGAGTCCTGCAAAACACAATATTTTCAAATGTACAAACTTTTAATTTCCGGAACAGCAACTACATTTACCGGTTGCTCACACCGTTTCGATCCAGTGTCATTTTCGGTATGGCACGAGTTTCGGGTATTGATCTGAAACCCAAACTGTAAAATCTTGGTTAATAAAAAAGATTCCAACTGAATCCTTTTTAAAATTTCGGTCAAAATGCTAGTGAATTAACAGTTCATACATATTCAAGTGAAAATCTTGAAAAAAAAAAAATTTCAACTATGGCAAATATTTGAAAAATGTTTGAGAAATTATCTATAGAGCAAACAAAAATCCCAAATGGTCAACATTCTAAATCATCCTAAATTATTGAACTTGTTGGATAAACTTTTTTTAGTGAAAACAAATCGATTATAATTTAACAAAAATTTTAGCAAAAGTTCTGAAATGCTGAAAACCTAACAGGACTCTGCATTGCACTGACCACAGTCTTTCGTGAAATTTTCGGTGAAATTATTTTTTCTATTCTCATTTGATGATTTTGCTTACGATCCCATTTCTGGAATAAAAATGACGTCTAACACCACAAAAGGAAACAAAATATAACAACTAATACGGATGAAGTTAAAGTTAATTGCATTGAATTGATCACAAGAATTTCCTATGAAAAGAACCCATTTATGAAATTGATGAAAAACCAACAGAAAATCTGTGGATGTTGACAATTGCGCTTGAATACGGTTTGGAAATATCGGAGAATAACGTAATGTAGTGTCGATTATAATAAGTTATACTACGTTTTGGACTATGTATCGAGGATGCCGTGGAAGAACGCTGAATGGTGATATTCTTTTCCATAGGTTGCTGCAGCGCTTTTGTGCATAAACTATTGCCATGCGGATTATGTGATAAGGACCTGAATAAATATTACAAGTATAATATCTACATCTTCCTTCTGTTATTACAAGTATAATATATACATCTTCCTTCTGTTATCCCCTAAACCTTCTTGTTATTCTTAATTACAATAGTTACTATATGTTCCTAAAATGTGGAGCTATCAAGGATTGTGCCTCCAAATCATACCGTCTGATGGTGTCTTCGTCCAAAAGTATCATGTTGTAAAACTTTTCGCGATTTCATTAATGGAGCTATAAACTCTGAGCTAAGCCTTGACAACTTAATAATGCACCAGTACATTTCAGCGTATGTTTGTATCTATGACGCTTAGCTGGAAGTTCACATTTCTTTAGTTAGATTAGGAAGACGGGGAAGAAAATTGATTGGAAATCTTGAGATTGGTTTTTGGATTAAGAAGTTATTTTCCCAAATTTCGTTTTGACTTAAAAAAATATATTTACCTTTGCAACAAAGGAGTTCGTCCACTACGAGCTCCAAATGCATAAAATGTCCTCAATGATAATAAAGACCCATTCGGTACTCGAGAATCAATACCTGTTTTCCTGGAAATTCTTACAACTATTTATCTTTTTAATTAAATATGACAAATTATCAAGATTTTAGAATTTTCATTTGGTTTAAATAAAGGTTTTTGATATAACAGTACCTTTTTCCTAACGCCAATAATTTAATATTTGGATAAACCAGAATTAATTCAGACATCTTGTTGAGAGCATAATGAATGCAAGACATGGTTGAATATGAGTCAGACAGAGATGAATGGTTGATCAGCCATTCAACTATTTATTTCAATGCATTTGATAGTCGAATTCAGTGGAACAGTTTTAATCAGAAGTTGGTCAGCAGGTTTTAATTAAAGTTCAAAACACTGAGTTTTTTTAACTTTTGAACAGAGCAGCCGTAATGCCTAATGTCTGTCGAAAAAGCAAAAGATATTATTATAGTTAGCAAGAAAATAAACCTTATTAATATTGATTTTTCAAGCTGAAGCATTTGAATAAAAAAATTGCACCTTGAAGTGAAATGTAATGATGAGGGTAGCATTTCTGCAATAAGTCTTGTTTCGATATTCAACAAAAATAAAACTTGTAGTGAAGTAAAGCGACTGAAATTGGTTAATTGTTTGATACTGGTTTTGGTACGGCGGAACGCTCCGGATGTTTTCATCAGTGCTCCCGCAGTGTGGAGTGCCCCATGAGGAGAGAAATGAATTTCCCAGCCCGATTGAAGCTGAAACTGATTTTTTATTCAATTTAAAATCTCATTAAATAACTCATTCAAAGCAGGTAAAGCCCAAAGCATAAATTAGAGTGGAGAAATCGATAATTTTCTATTAATCTGCATTATCCAAGCAACATTGATCGAATTATAAAAAATAATTTTTGTCATGCATTCTCTTCTTGGACTTCCTTGAAAAAACAATCCTGGGATGACTTTTTTTTTCTGCAGTAAGCTGATCAGCTTAACGAAGACTTGAACTTCACAACCAATGAAATGCTAAGAAAGACTTGAAATTCACAATTAATGAAATGCTAACAAACAACGAAAATATTTTTTATGATAAAATTAAATTGAAAATGTTTGAGCTATAGAAAAGGAAAAAAATGAATCATTGGCTAGATAGAAAGACAATCATCGAGACAAGAATTTGACAAACGTAATCGTCGTAGTATACAAAGACATACAGTGGTTGAATTGAGCAGTTATTAAGAGCGTTGAAAGCTAGCAATACTTTGAAATGGCTGCTGTTCATCATCTATTTATCTATCCTGAAGTGTCTAGCAATATGGTGCAGTTGCTCCTACTACCAAATGCTGTAAATATTCAGCTGCTTTATGTAAATAACTGTGGCTGAAGAACGTGCCAGCAGGTTCCGTTAAAATTATCAGTCATTCACAATTATTTATTAGATAATTATACACTTGATCTACTAATAAAATCACTTTAGAAATTATGGTACTTCGAAAAATGTTTAAAGAAGGATAGGAAAAAAGTGAGACATTGTTATTGCAAAAAGTAGTTTCATTAAGCGTATTTTGTTAATTGCATCTATTGCTTTAGCAACATCTACTTCTTATTCACCACTCATTTTCATCCCATACTACAATTTTTCTTTAAATTTTTCATATTTGTAACTCATTAAAAGGATGCAGCACTGAATTCGATAGACAACGAGAACGTTGGTTGTCACCTGATTTATAACATTTGTTATACTTCAAGATATTTCTTTTTTGTAGTTCATTAAAGATTTAGAAGTACCATTTATTACAATCGTGCAAGAAATAATTCACTGTAGCAATTGTTTGAAATGAATCAGTTGGATTGTACATTGAATTGAAAAAGCAATAAAATGTCACAGTATGTCAGTAGCATTAGGATTTTATGCTGGAGCATATTCTCATCCAATCGTTCATTCAAATCGAACTGCTACCATTCCTCATTTCATTCAAAAACGACTATTTAAATTTCTGAAAACTAATAATACAACTAAAATCCAGAAAATACTTTCAGTTTATGATTATAAAGCAAACTTCCACGAAAAAAAAAGACTAAATAATTTATAAATCGTTGAAAGCATATCCTAATATAAAATTTATGGAAAGCGTTGACGAAAATTCAGTATTTTGCATTAAAGAAGCAGAATAATGATTTACCTGCAAAGATTTGTCAATAATATAGTGGGATTTATTAATAGTCCCGACTAGTTTCTTCCTCCTTACATTTATTTCCTCTTAATATGTTCATAAAGAGTTCTATGAATTATTCATTGTTTGAAGCATATCTAGGCCATCAAAATTGTTAGATATTTTCTAAAAAACATATCTGTTGGATATTTAGAAATCCTTTTCTCTATTTTTTTTTAAATAAAAATTTCTTCGAATGCAAAATTACCCATATCTTCTTTCTTTGCTATCCCTTATTTGAAGCATAGGGAAATGTGTCTGAAATGTGATGGCAGATAGCTTCCATAACTTCTCAGTCTTTTGAATAATGTCCTCATTATTTAAATTTGATAGGTGATACAACGGCCAATCCCAATTAGAGTTTGATTAACTTCATTTATTGTTCATGATCTATCAGTTTATGGTTTCATCAGTTATTTTTCTTTTCTTTCTCTCTCTCTCTCTCTCCCTCTCGCATCATCTCCTTTCTCAGAAAATAATTTCTCATTTCTAAATCTTTGAAATTGTTTAGCAATCCTCGGATTTCCTTTTTCTTTTTTTTCTTTGACATTATCTTAGTTTTTCTTTTTTCATAGCATCAATTAGTACTAATTTTTCTTCACTTTATGAACTTCTCATTAGTCTCACAATAATTCCTCCTTTACCACTACTGCCTACACTTTATGTATTAATCAACCTTCGCCTATATGGAATGATTAGAAATTAAAAAATTTAAAAAAAAATTAGTGACACGTGTTAGAAGGGAATTACAAATAAGTGAGATTACAAAAGAATTGTATGCGTTTGAAATTTTTTCAGGTAAGCAACGATTTTTTCTAGTTATTCTATTATAAAATAATTTTTATATTGGAGAAGAATGTCATCTTATGATAGAGTTTCTGAAGGAAAATAGATGCTTCAAAGCGTATTACTGTGAGAATAAAATTGGCCCTTTTTTTTCAACTGACAACATCGCAAGAAGCCTCTGGGCTTGTACAAGCATATGTTAGGAATTTGATTTTCATTTTGTCAAACACAATTTAATTCCCAAGAAATTCCATTTTCCTTTAAAGCTATTAAATTAAAAGTGACATTGCAAAAGCGAATGAAGTGCCAGAAGGCTGATCATCAGATATAATTAGACTTTTCCTGACACTTCTGACAAAGAAATCATTTTCATTCTAATGAGAAAATAAAGTTAGGACGTGTAACAGAAACTTTTAATTAAGTATGCCATCAACTAAATAACAGATGTAAACTGGAAATGAAATTTTACATTACTTCATAAAATGAAGATTTCGTTAATTCTACTTCATTGCTTTACCAGTAGTTTACTTTTTAATGCTTTCGTTTAAAGTTTGACTTAGAAAAAAAAAAAATTGATCACCAGAGATTCAGAATGCATTGCATTCCATTATACAATTATCAAGGAAAAAATTTTTAATTTTCATTTGCAGTTTATCGTTTATTTAAATTTCCATTGTCACAACTTTTAAGAATTGGGATTTAACATAATACCTTGAGAATTTTTTCCGAGTGTTTTTTTGTCGTGAATAAAGAAAAATAGCTGTATGGACCGCAATTAGTTTTTGGAAAATTATTTCAATTTTTGAAGTTAATATATTTCAATTTATATAATACATCATACCTAACTGCTACTAGGTACCATTATTAGCAACTATATAAGATAACAAAAGATGTGTTGAAGACATTTGCACAATACAGTCTATGATACCTTTAATACAAGTCTAGAATATGATCAAGTTTGCATTTTATTAGGCGTAATAAAAATATCATGCAATTTTGGTTGTTCAACATACAGGATAAATATTTTTTTCATCTGGTTAACATAAAATTCCAGTGGAGCTTTTTGAACACTTAATTTAAATGTCTTTAACTTTATGTCATATCTTGTGCAAGGATTTGATGAAATTAGCTTTAACATACCTATCCATCTCCACTATATCCTACTAATATGCCTCTAAACAGTTACAAAATTTTTCTAGCTCTTTATAAGGCTATTCTTTCATATAAATTTAGGAAAAAAATTGTAATGTAATTTTTGCTTTTCTTGCAAACCAACTTTTCAATGTGTTAAATAAGTATTACATTTTATGTAACATTATCGCAAAATGACGAGTGATGACATCAACAATCAGATAAAAAAGATTTAAATAACTAACAATGCATTATATCCTTCAATTTAATCACAAAAAGATATTAAGTTAGGCATATCTGTGGTACTTTTTGAATGATTGCTAGCAAAATCGTTGCGATGATCGGAATGCTATCAAGATGAACGAGAAGCATTTAGCTCAAGCCTTTCGTATATATGTAGTGTTGTAGTATCAATGTGGTAGGAAATGCTATTGATACATAATTGAGACTTATAGTTTGAAATAAAACAGCGTTATAATTTTCCTGAAGTTAAGGCATAATTGGGAAGGATATGAAAATATATCGCGTAAATTTTTCGAAAAGTTATGAGTTAACTGAATAAAATTGTCACTTTGCTTGACGAAAATTTACATTATAATTTTTTTGAAAGTAACATATTGTTTAATGAATTTCAATTGGCGAATGTGTAATGAGATATGAAACTGAATGAAATTTAACTTTGTTACAACAAAAAAAAAGTAGTAAAATTACAGCTTTTGAAATTCAACAATATTCATTTTGATTGTTCAGGTTGAAGCATTCACATTGCTATACTCATTATGCGCACATGCACTTAACATGCATTTTTCAATTTAAATGCATTCTTTGGTTCATTTGTTTTGTGTGTTGCTTTTTGTTTTTTAACTCTGGAAATTACTTTCTCGAGCCTTACAGCCTTCTCAATCACTGTAAAAATGCATTGCCGATTTTTATCTCTCTGTGCTTTGATGATCTTAATCAGTATATATATATATATATATATATATATATATATATATATATATATATATATATATATATTATATATTTATTTATTTATTTATTTATTTATTTATTTATTTATTTATTTATTT